TCGTCAATAGCAAACTGTTTATTGCTTTTTTCCAGCCGTAAATGTTGCTGCAGTAAAGTGTTCTTGGTTTTTCACTCATCCAGACCAGAGCAGAGAGGACGCATCATCCAAATTATGTAGATACATTTTGAAAAGGGCGAATAAAGCATTCAGAATTTCACTCTGAACCAGTGCAGAGAGAATGGTCCGAACCAAGCAGCTCATCCACGGCAGCTTCATCACCTCTGCTGCCTGACTTTATTTCACATTTGTCTCGATAGAAAGAGTTTTGCAAGAGTTTAATGTGAACAAATAAGATCAACTGTATTCCCCTTATTAGAAAACATTTAATCTCTCACCTTTTGACACTTTGGGCTGTGAGCTCTGATTGGCCAAGTGAGGGGGGTCTTCTTTTTCCTCACTTTCTGCCTGAGAACATTAGTGAAAACATGTGACAGAGGCATAGACTGTATATAGATGGACAATGCAAACCCGCTAGCTCAAGGAAGCCCAATAGGGAAGTGCTCATGGGGGAAGTTTTGCTCCAACTCGTTCTAACTCCTGGTGTTTACATTGTGATGTGGTCTTTGTAAATCCAGGTATAAGTTGTATAAGGATTGACCAGGATTGATCAGATGCCTTCAGTCTCGGGGGGGAAATTCAAGCTTGTCTTAGCAACCACCTTAGCAACACGTCTGCCCTTGTTGCGCCGCAAAGCTACACTGCAAAAAATAATAGAAAGATGAGGGAATATTTGCTTGAATTGAGTGGTTTTTTACTTAATTTGAGTTAATTCTGACTATCTTAAAACAAGATTCTCCAATGGGACAAAGCCATAAAGTCGTTTTTCAAGAACTGTTGCTTTATTTTCTCATTCCATGGGAGACATGTCTTGTATCTTTTCAAAAAAAGATCCTTTTGCTTGTCCCATTGGAAAATCTTGTCTTGACACATGATTGGTTTTCCCCATCCCTTTATGCAGAGTAACAATGTTGTAACAAATCTCCAATTAAGGAAACTGCATCCAGCTAGCTTATGTTCATATCAGCTTCTCCCTCATGAAGGCCAACACTGTGGTGACGTCACACTCGGAATCTATGGACAGAGGCCATAAAATACAGATACAACTGTGAGAACTCTATTTTATTGCATAGTTGTATTTATTGTGTTTTGAAAGTTACACACTGAAAAAAGTGATGAAAAGTCAAAAATTGCTCAAATTCGGCAAATGTATCTTAATTCGAGCACATTTTTCTGCCTTAAAACAAGACTTGTCAACGGGACAACGCAAAATTATCATGTTTTGAAAAGTTAAGTGGCAGATCTTGTTTTAAATTAAGATAAAAATCACTCAGTCTAATTACCATTTAGCTCGACGTAAATGTGTCACTTATACTTGTGTGCATTTGTTTTGGAGGAAGGATCTGAACGCCCCGTCCTCCCTCCTCCTCCCTCCTCCTCCGGCTCTCGTCTTTAGCTGGAGCCTGAGGGGAGGTCGCGTGCTCTTGACCCCGCGTTCCACAGCGGCCACACACCCGTAGACACCCAAACACTGGACCATAAACAAGAGGAGGCTTCGGAGCAGCAGATAAATTACAAAAATGTGTCGGAATTTCCTTTAATTATGAGCTGTAAACAAAATGTATTGTTATCGTTATGACCGATGATAATGTTACAGCTTTATCATCACCGGGAATAGACTTCACGCCTTTAAAGATCAGAAATAACTAATGATAATAGCAAAACACTGGACCTTAAACCATAGACTATATAGAAAGGGTCAATGCTAACCCCTAAAGCTCAATCAAGCCCAATAGTGGTTCAATCTGAAGAGACCAAAGACACGATAAATACATTAAAATGATTTATTTGTTTGGCGCATTGACCCCGGCAGTGACACTTGCAGCTATGAGATCGATTGCAGCTGAGATGATCTCAGATCCCCCGGGGTCAATCACTGGTGGTGGCTAGAGTATGGTGTGAATGGGGCGTAGGCGGAGCAGGAGCCGGAGTGGGAGCCTAGAGCGGGAGCCAGAGCGGGAGCCAGAGCGGGAGCCAAGAGCCAGAGGGGGTGCTGGGGAGGTGGTGGGTGTTTAAGAGCCTCAGGAAGCGTTGTTTGTCAGGAAGTGGCTGCCTTTTAAACTGCCCGCTTTGCTCTGAGAGGGTTGGCAGGAGGCTGGCCTGGCTGTGTGATTGGCTGAGGCTCGAGGCTGGCAGAGCTGTGTGATTGGCTGAGGCTCGAGGCTGGCAGGCACTCGGTCTTTCAGTCTGAACATCCGCTTGAGCTTCATTTCAATCTGAAGAGACCAAAGACACGATAAATACATTAAAATGATTTATTTGTTTGGCGCATTGACCCCGGCAGTGACACTTGCAGCTATGAGATCGATTGCAGCTGAGATGATCTCAGATCCCCCAAAAGAGGAAGCCACGCTATGTGTGCCGGGGAATGCGCAGGCCTCCCGTGGGAAGCTGCCTATCTGGAGGCGTGGGAGCCTTGCATCGGGGCAGCATTGCATCGGGGCAGCATTGCATCGGGGCAGCATTGCATAGAGGCTGCATTGCGTGGAGGCTGCATTGCATGGAGGCTGCATTGCATAGATTGCATAGAGGCTGCATTGCATAGAGGCAGCATTGCATAGATTGCATAGAGGCAGCATTGCATAGATTGCATAGAGGCAGCATTGCATAGATTGCATAGAGGCAGCATTGCATAGAGGCAGCATTGCATAGAGGCAGCATTGCATAGAGGCAGCATTGCATAGAGGCAGCATTGCATATAGGCAGCATTGCATAGATTGCATGGAGGCAGCATTGCATAGAGGCAGCATTGCATAGATTGCATGGAGGCAGCATTGCATAGAGGCAGCATTGCATAGAGGCAGCATTGCATAGAGGCAGCATTGCATAGAGGCAGCATTGCATAGATTGCATGGAGGCAGCATTGCATAGAGGCAGCATTGCATGGAGGCAGCATTGCATGGAGGCAGCATTGCATAGATTGCATAGAGGCAGCATTGCATGGAGGCAGCATTGCATAGAGGCAGCATTGCATGGATTGCATAGAGGCAGCATTGCATAGAGGCAGCATTGCATGGAGGCAGCATTGCATGGAGGCAGCATTGCATAGATTGCATAGAGGCAGCATTGCATAGAGGCAGCATTGCATCATTGCATGGAGGCAGCATTGCAGCATTGCATAGATTGCATGGAGGCAGCATTGCATAGAGGCAGCATTGCATAGAGGCAGCATTGCATCATTGCATGGAGGCAGCATTGCAGCATTGCACAGATTGCATGGAGGCAGCATTGCATAGAGGCAGCATTGCATAGAGGCAGCATTGCATGGAGGCAGCATAGCATGGAGGCAGCATAGCATGGAGGCAGAATTGCATGGAGGCAGAATTGCATGGAGGCAGCATAGCCTGGAGGCAGCATTGCGTGGAGGCTGCATTGCATGGAGGCAGCATTGCCTGGAAGCAGAATTGCATGAATAGGATACAGAGAATATGCGGGGGTGACAAATCCGCACGCTCTGTAATGATTATGCGTGTGTGAAGCGTTGGCCCTTGGAGCGTGCGGAGGGTTTCTCGCGCACAGACCGCTTCGTGAGGGTGCATGTATGACGTAGGCCGCAGGGGATCTGTGGGAACAGACACTCACTGAATGAGCGGCTATGTGATCATGCGTGCGTGGTGGATGCATGAAGGGAAGAGTAAATGCGTGTAATCGCAGAGCTGATGCGGGCTCTGCGTGTTGAGAATGTGGAGCAGCAATGTAGAGAGCTTTCTCATACAAGATCTGCTATATTTGAGCATGCGTGTGTCAGCGTATGATACAGAGAATATGCGGGGGTGACGAGGCCGCACGCTCTGTAATGACTATGCGTGTAGAAGCGTGGGCCCTTGGGGCGTGCGGAGCTGCCTCTCGCGCACAGGCCGCTTCGTGAGGTGCGTGTATAGCGTGAGCCGTAGGGGGTTATGCAGAGAAGCTTCTCTGCACAGAGCGCTGCGGTGAGCATGAATGTATGATGTAAGACAAGGTGATCATATGCATGTCCGGATTGAAGTGCAACGATGTTGAGAATGCTTATGTGAGAGAAGAGCCTTAGCCACCACCAGAGTATTTGATAATTACCTCAGATTGAAGAGGGAGCGCTGAGCAGTCAGAATAGTGTCAGTGTTTAGTCTGATAGAGGATGAGGCAGGACCAAGCCGTGGACCATTGACCCATTTGCTGTAGGGAAGAGTGAGGAAGGCCCAGCAGGCTGGAGTGCGGCGGCTATTCTAATCCAGCGGCCGGTATTGGAGAATCGGGAGATCACAGGAGACCGGCCGGATTTATTAAATGGGCTTGGATACATTGCGCAAACATGACGTCATTTGACAGAGAGAGAAATAGCAGCCCATCTGAATCTCCTCTCCGTGCATGGAGGAGTGCATTTCATCAGGTGTTTATCTGGACAGGGGAAAAAAATGCATAATGAAAGTGTGACGGCACCTTCCTTTCGGAGTGTTGAATGCAGGGATTATAGTGATAGGGGTAATAAGTCCTTGGGGCCAGGGTGCAGCTAACCACTGGCCTTGATATGACCCCCAAAAACCCACGGACTGAGCCGCGTCCGTGAAAAAGAAATAAGTAAGTGGAAGAGGCGGTGCCATCATGAAAGACGCCGTTCCGGCAGGCAGCAGCTGAAGCTGAGGTCAGCGCAGCACCTGCGAACAGGAAAACAGGGTTGCAGAGCGCGCAGGAGCCTGGGGATGAACCACGGCCTGAGGAATGACGTGCACTGCGAGGATGAGGCGGCCCAGCCGGAAGAGCAGCACCTGTTTGGGACGTGACAGAGGACAGGACGGACCAAGAGACCTTGGTCCTCCTCCTCCTATCCCCTCTCTCTCCATGTCCAAGCTGAGGGAGCATCTACGAAACCTTCGATGAGGGTCATCACGTGTGCCGGGTGGCCAGTGTGACGGCCAGACGCCTGCCCGGCTTGAGATGGACGAGCCCCGCGTAGGAAGGGCATGCCCCGCGCGGGAATGACAGGGCCTATTGCTACGAGAATAATTCGCAAGGCGCGGCCGTGCAGCAAGAGCGCCCTGCAACATAAGGGAGAGATTAAACAAGAACCGACCGAATCTCCTTCTGGACAGGAGAGAGCTATCTTGATGCAATTAGGAACTCAGAACGACGGCAAAGAGCGGCCACGGAGCAGAATAAGTACGAACAGAGCGGCACCTGAGAACGAGCAGTAGAGCGAGCAACCGTTACGATGACTCAGAGCCATGAGAGTGCGGCAGAGAGCATGTGACCGTTGTGGATGCTGCCCCCCGACTCCACGCGGAGAATCGGAGAGAGATCGCCCGTATGAGGCGTAGGGCGGATCAATTGCACGCGGTAGCAGTGAGGGAAGGCCAGAGCACGTGGAGGATCCGGAGCAAACCGGCCGGACGAGGGGAGAACATGCAAAACTCCGCACGGAGGTGGAACAAAGCATAAAACTACTTTTGATAATCGACGCCAGCCTGCTCAGGATAAAATGAAACACACTGCTAATGACCTGGGGCAACGCGTCCCTATGAGCAATATTTACTGTACACGGAGGGGGCTCGAGGATTTCAGTACGAGGGCCGCTTCAGTCCGCCAAACTAGTCCCGGGGCCGACACGTAGGCGAAACCGCATTGGACTGGTCCGAACTTTAGGACAAACTATGAAAGAACTGAAGTTGGCTGATGACGACCTCCTGTCGTCTCGCTAGCTACAGATTAGCGGAGATTCGAGCCCGACCGGGAACAACAACATCTCAGAACGGGTTACGACACGTCTATATTGGCTGCGCTGAAGTAGAATGGACGACACCGAATAAGTATTTACGAACCCAGATTCCCTTGGCCTCAGTTGGAACAGGTTGTCTTGTAACGGAATAGCCCGACGACCAGCGAAGGTAACACACATCATTCATTGCAAAGCATCTAATCATAATTACGATTAAACTAAGGAAAGTTTGACGAGAGCAGAGACAGCCCTGATGAGAACTGAGCGAAGCGAGCTTAAGACTATAAAACACATACGCATATACATATACATAATATATATGCACGCACGTATACTACGTACCTACATGTGCATGCACATATACAAGTCGAGTCCCTCCATGGCCTCGCACCAACATATAGTAGAGACATGTTAGTCCCATATGAACATGAATTGTTCATATGTGCATGAATTGTGCTATACAAATAAACTTGCCATGCCTTGCTATACAACATGCATTCACATACGCCATGATGCGCGTGACAAGGCCATGAAGCTAAACGCACTTTCTTCACCTTATGGGAGCGTCCAAATTAGACAGGCGTCAAAACTGCAGATTCCTCTTCACCCTGAGCGAGCAATATTACATTAGGCCTTTGTCTAGGGAGCAACCAAATCAGAGAGGCGCCAGAGCTGCAGATTCCTATTCACCCTGAACGTGCAATATGTCGTTAAGCCTCGGAGACCGATACATTAAGCCTTAATACGAACAATTCGGGCCTTAGAAGGAGACTGATTAGGGAAGACTCCAAAATGTAATTTTGCATGCCACCAAGCACGCTGGAGTTTGAACTGTCTCACGGAGGAGACTTGAGCAGCAGTGACACGGAGCCTGGACGTGTTTAAGGAGCGGCGCCAATAAGCACTGACGAGCAGATCAGAGCGGGTCAAAGCAGGAACAGACCCCAAACAAACGATGGCACGGGACAATCACGGGCCCGGGACAAGCACGTACGACGCAACCACAATGCGATTCATACGGGCAAACAGACCATGTCACGCCAGCGTGCGCCGCTTGTCTCTGTGAGCCAGGTTACATACGTGTCTGAAAGAGCCGAGTCGTAGAGACAGGTGCAGCCTGGGAGCCCGCGGAGCGGCAGGAACAGCAGCAGCGGCACGTGTAGTAGTAGGAGCAGCAGGAGCGGCAGCAGGAGCAGGCAGCAGGAGCAGGCAGCAGCAGGAGCGGCAGCAGGAACAGGCAGCAGCAGGAGCGGCAGCGGAACAGGCAGCAGCGGGAACAGGCATCAGTAGGAGCAGCAGGAGCAGGCAGCAGGAACAGGCTGCAGCAGGAGCGGCAGCAGGAACAGGCAGCAGCAGGAGCGGCAGCGGAACAGGCATCAGTAGGAGCAGCAGGAGCGGCAGCAGGAACAGGCAGCAGCAGGAGCGGCAGCGGAACAGGCAGCAGCAGGAGCGGCAGCAGGAACAGGCAGCAGCAGGAGCGGCAGCGGAACAGGCATCAGTAGGAGCAGCAGGAGCAGGCAGCAGGGACAGGCAGCGGTAGGAGCAGCAGGAGCGGCAGCAGGAACAGGCAGCAGCGGGAACAGGCATCAGTAGGAGCGGCAGGAACGGGGAGCAGGCATCAGTAGGAGCAGCAGCGGGAACAGGCATCAGTAGTAGCAGCAGGAACGGGGAGCAGACATCAGTAGTAGCAGCAGGAACGGGGAGCAGGCATCAGGGAACAGGCATTAGTAGGAGCAGCAGGGACCGGCAGCAGCGGCGGTCAGAGAACCATGCCCATGGTTGTTTAAGAGCCTCAGGAAGCGTTGTTTGTCAGGAAGTGGCTGCCTTTTAAACTGCCCGCTTTGCTCTGAGAGGGTTGGCAGGAGGCTGGCCTGGCTGTGTGATTGGCTGAGGCTCGAGGCTGGCAGAGCTGTGTGATTGGCTGAGGCTCGAGGCTGGCAGGCACTCGGTCTTTCAGTCTGAACATCCGCTTGAGCTTCATAAGTGCTCATGGACAAAGTTCTGCTCAACTCACTCTGGCTCCTCTTAACTTACATTAAAAAGTAAACAGATTGTGTCACACTCATTTTAGATGGTTTCGCGATCTCTGTGATCCGGGGTTTTTATATTGTGGTATTGTCTTTGCAAATCCAGATACGAGCCATATATGGACTAACCAATCAAATGATAGCTTGCCTTGGCAACCGTCTTAGCAACACTGCTTCTTTTACGGCGTGAAGACAACCCTGGGAACCATTGCCCAAACAGCCTTACCTGTATGTGAAGCCAGATCTCGTTAGTACCACTGAAGCTAAGCAGAGCAGAGCCTGGTTAGTACTGTGATGGGGGACAGTTGCGGCTGTAAAGGGCCAAACTGTTTTTGTGTCCTTAGGCAAGACACTAAGTCAGAGAGGCCGATGGCACAGACTGGCTGTCTCGCTTCTGTCAGTGTGCCCCAGGGCAGCTGTAGCTCCAGTAGTACTTATTATGCCTACTCTATTAACAGAACAACATCTACCCAACTAAATTAGTCAAATTATACATGTTACATACATGCATATACTCAAACATATAAGTATATATAAATACACGTGTAGCTAGACATACATATTCACAAACACATACAGTACAATATACTGTATATAGAGAGACTAAAGCTCTCGAAACCTGCAGTGAGGAGCTCCAAAGTGTGGTCTGATGAAGCTGTGGAAGAGCTGCGCGCATGCATGGAATCTACAGACTGGGACCTTTTCAGAGCTGCCACAGACAGTTTGGATGAATATACGGACACTGTGACGTCATACATCCACTTCTGTGAGGATAGCATCATTCCAACAAGGACCAGGGTCATCTATAACAACGACAAACCCTGGTTCACTGCTAAACTCCGGCAGCTCAGGAAAGCAAAGGAGTCTGCTTTCAGGGAGGGGGACCGCAGCGGCTACAAAGCAGCTAAATATCAGTTCAGGAAAGAACTGAAAGCAGCCAAGTCCCGGCACAGAGAACGACTACAGGAGCAGTTTGGTAACAACGATACTGCTTCTGTCTGGAGGGGCCTACGGGAGATCACCAACTACAAACCCAAAGCCCCCCCCTGTGCTGATGACCACAAGCTAGCTGACGACCTGAACTTATTTTTCAGTCGCTTTGATGCTGCCCCTGACACCTCTCCCTCCCCCACCCCCCACTACTCTAACGACCCACCCATCAGCCCTGCCCCCAGCCTAACAATAGCCGCTAAAGAGATTAAACAACTCTCTTCCTGAGGCTGCACCCCCGCAAAGCTCCTGGCCCGGACCACGTGTCTCCGGCCACTCTGAGACACTGCGCCAGTGAGCTTACTCCTGTGTTCACGGACATTTTCAACTCCTCTCTGCAGTCCTGCCATGTCCCGGCCTGCTTCAAATCCTCCATCATTGTCCCCGTCCCGAAGAAGCCCAGGATCACAGGACTCAATGACTACAGACCTGTAGCACTTACGTCTGTCGTCATGAAGTCATTTGAACGCCTGGTTCTCTCCCATCTCAAGTCCCTCACCTCCCCCCTCCTGGACCCCCTGCAGTTCGCCTACAGAGCCAACAGATCTGTAGACGACGCCATTAACCTGGCCCTCCACCACATCCTACAGCACCTGGACTCCCCGGGGACCTACGCCAGGGTCCTGTTCGTGGACTTCAGCTCTGCCTTCAACACAATCCTGCCATCCCTGCTCCAGGACAAGCTCTCCCAGCTCAACGTGCCCGATTCCACCTGCAGGTGGATCACTGACTTCCTGACGGACAGGAAGCAGCGAGTGCGTCTGGGGAAGAATGTCTCGGACTCTCGGATTATAAATACAGGAGCCCCACAGGGCTGTGTTCTTTCTCCCCTGCTCTTCTCCCTGTACACCAACCACTGCACCTCCAGCCACGACTCCGTGAAGCTGATCAAGTTCGCGGACGACACCACCCTCATTGGACTCATCTCCAACAACGATGAGTCCGCCTACAGGAGGGAGGTGGACCGGCTGGTGTCCTGGTGCAGTGGTAACAACCTGGAGCTGAACGCCCAGAAGACAGTGGAGATGATTGTGGACTTCAGGAAGAGCACTGTCCCCCCGCCCCCACCCTCCGTGATGGACTCCCCCATCACCTCTGTGGAGTCCTTCCGTTTCCTGGGCACCACCATCACCCAGGACCTCAAGTGGGAGCCGACCATCAGCTCCCTCATCAAGAAGGCCCAGCAGAGGATGTACTTCCTGCGGCAGCTCAGGAAAGCCAAGCTGCCTGCACAGATGTTGGTGCAGTTCTACACGGCCATCATCGAGTCCATCCTCACCTCCTCCATCACCGTGTGGTTCGCTGGAGCCACAGTCAGGGACAAACAGAGACTACAGCGCATTGTGCGCTCTGCAGAGGAAGTGATCGGCCGCAGCCTTCCATCGCTGCAGGACCTGTACGTCGCCCGAGCTCGAGGCCGGGCTGGTCGTATCACAGCCGACCCCTCTCACCCTGCACATGGACTATTCCAACCACTCCCCTCAGGCAGGAGGCTGCGGTCCATCAGGACTAGAACCTCCCGCCACAAGAACAGTTTCTTCCCCTCTGCTGTTGGACTCTTGAACACTTCTTAACCTGTCCCCCCGCCCTTTATAAAGTCACTTTACTGCCCATCATACGTCACTTTACTTCACTGTACTGCTGTCACCTTACATTGTGTGCACCATGTGCACTTGTATATTGTAAATAGTAACTGTAACTCTATTTTAAATTTAAATTTATTCTTTAGAAGTGTTTTTTATTCTTATTTTTATTATCTCTTTTTGACTGTTGCACTGAGCCAAAGCAATTTCCAAGTCTGTGACCTCCCGTTACTTACGTTGGCAATAAAAATGATTCTGATTCTGATTCTGATTCTGATATATGCATACACTTCTGTTTTCCCAAGGCACATTGAACAACATCTCGAGGCAACATAACGTTCCCCGGCCCACAGGCTGAAACAGGACGGGATAAACAACACGTATTATCGATGAGCAAATAAAGTTAATAAAACAAAGTATTTCATGTTATTTTAGAGTTATTGTTGTGTTGTGTGCTCCTCTTTCCTACTGATATGTGACTGGTGACGCAACACTGACATTTCTGAATCTGTGTTTTCTGTCTCTTCTCAGATTTCAATGGCAGGGACCAGATTGGAATGATCGTGACAGATATGACAGAATGTTTTCACCTTCACTGTCCCCAAACCCAAACAGACGGGGCTTTGTTCCGTGGAATTCAGCGCAGACTCTTGGCCCTTTGACGTCTGACCCGGCTCCGTACATGTACACACTGTGGGGATTTCTCACAAGCACCAGAGAACCAACAAATGCACACAATATGGAGTTTGGGACGTTTTATCCAAGAATCTTACATCACCGTCAAACAACTATATGTATGATTTTACAACAATGAAAACGTGATCCTTAAAAATATGTGAGAAGATTATGCTGTACAGTTCTATGTGTATTTTTGGGATTCTTTATCTTTTTTTTTTTTTTGTGGTTTCTTGCGACAGTAGCTCAGTTGGTAGAGCATTGGCCTTTAGGTCTGAAGGTCGAGGGTTCAACCCCACCTTCTCCACCAGCTCCCACTGATGCTGTTGTTGTGTCCTTGGGCAAGAGACTTAACCCCACTTTACCCAAAACCCTTGCTGAAGGATCAAGGCTATGCTCACACTTAGAGAGCAGCCGTCCTCCTTTGGACCACCTGCAGGAGGGTCAGTGAGGGGCTGGTGCTATGAGACTTGGGTGGCATCTGTAATTGCCACCCCTGACCCAGATATGGATTAAGGGGTAGAAAATGGATGGATGATGGAGTGGTTTCTTGATGGAGGATTTAAGGACCATTTAATGAATGTAAAGGACAGTGGTCATCCTGCTCCCTATGGACTAATGGCTCCTTCACTAAACAAAAATATATAATGTTAGGTAATAATTGCTTGAAATGCAGGGTTTTTATTTCAATTTCAACATTGGAAACATGGGACACATTAGAAACATTAGCACACACCAGAGCTCCTGCCACGGTGCTGTGCGAATGTTAGCGCTTTATTTTCTCATTACAGAGACATAAATGTGCTCAAAATTACTTTTTGCAATGTATTCATATTAGGGCTGCACGATATTGGAAATGAAAGCGTGTTCAACATGAGGGTTTAGTATTGCGATAACGATAATATTGCGATATTTTTGTCTTTCAGCTAAAATTGCAATCTGCATTGACACGCAAGAGACAAATACCCAAAAAAAGCACAACATTAGTGACATTTAAATGTATATATTTATGTTTGTGTAAGCCCTCAGTCGTACAGGGATTAGTCAAAGCAAAGGAAGGTTTCTCACCCATGATCTGTACTTCTTAGCAAGTTAGTTAAAAATAAGAATATATTTATGTACTTTTTTTGTTTGTTTGTTGTTCTTGTTGAATGTCGATGTCTCCGTCTGTTTTGTTGTCCTTAATAAGCGTCTTGTGAGTCTTGTTTGTGAAAAGCGCTATATATAAAGATTACCTTTACTCACTGATCTGCTGTTGGTTAATGCACAACTTTGTAAAGTCCTCCCAAAAAGATGACTGTTGTATTGAACATTAGTGGATCAAGTGCTCACATTGTCAGTAGATATAAATCTGTTTCAATGGGTCTTCTATTTCAATTACGCAGGAATTCACTGTGAAAATTAATGAGGTGAGGAGCAGCGACTCTATTCTGAGATCTGTATTGTCTGCTCTCTGTAATAACAAGTCTTCACTGTAAACCCAAACGTCTCTGCATGATCTATTTTATCTTCATTATTTAACAGTTAGGGGCTGGTGCTCTGTGTACTGGGTGCAGCTCTGACTGCCACCCCCCCGACCCAGAAATGGATTAAGGGGAAGAAAATGGATGGATGGATGGATGGATATTTAACAATGTTTTTCATGATTTGATTAGTTTTGTCTCATTTTGACCCAGACAAAACTGAAGCCACAGGAAGATGTCTCAATTTGTACAGCCCTAAGTTTCAATGGGACTTGACAAAGTTGTCGATTTGCCAACAACAGATCAGAAAATCAAACAGTTCCAACACAGGAAATGCAATCAATCAATCAATCAAAGTTTATTTGTAGAGCGCCTTTCATACACAGGGCAACACAAAGCGCTTCACAGTCTACATCACAAATCATCACATAAAACAAACACCAGAATCACAATTAAAACATTAAAATCACACAAAAGATTAAAACACAATTAAAACATTAAAATCACACAAAAGAATAAAACCATTAAAACTTTCAAAATTACACAAGAAATTTAAAAAAAATAAATAAATGACAGCAGTGCATTAGAAATGGAGATAAAATCCTTCAGTTGTATGCACAGGCAAACAGAACAGTCTTTAACCTGGATTTGAACATTGACAGAGTAGACGCCTCCCTCACATTTTCAGGGAGATTGTTCCAGATCTTAGCTGCATGGATCTGAAACGCAGCCTCCCCATGTTTGGTTCTCACTCTGGGCACCAGCAGGAGGCCAGTCCCTGTGCTCCTCAGAGTCCGGGCCGGTTCATATGACACCAACATGTCACTAATGTATTCTGGTGCAAGGCCATGGAGAGACTTGTACACAAGCAGAGCCGTTTTAAAATCTATTCTTTGAGCCACAGGAAGCCAGTGCAGAGACCTGAGGACCGGACTAATATGGTCATACTTCCTGGTTCCTGTCAGGACTCTAGCTGCTGCATTTTGGATGTACTGCAGCTGCTTACAGGTCTGTTTGGACAGACCTGTAAGCAGGCCATTGCAGTAGTCTAGCCTGCTGGAGACAAATGCATGGACAAGAATCTCCAAGTCTGCCCTGGACACTATATTTCTAACTTTGGCAATGTTCTTCAGATGGTAAAAAGCTGTTGATGTTATTGATTTTATGTGGCTATTGAAATTTAGGTCTGAGTCCAGTATTACCCCCAAATTTCTGACCTTGTCTGAAGGAAGTAGGGAGAGAGACTGAAGTTGACAAATGACGCCCTCTCTTTGTTTCTGGGGACCAAAGACAATGATTTCGGTTTTGTCTGCATTTAGCTGGAGGAAATTATTTTGCATCCAGTCACTGATCTGTTGGATACAGTGAAGGAGCAAATCCAGTGGTCCATGTTCTCCTGCAGTCAGTGAGACATAGATCTGAGTGTCGTCGGCGTAATTGTGGTAGGACACTTTGTTTCTTTGTATTAACTGACCTAACGGCAGCATGTAGAGATTAAATAGGAGAGGTCCCAGGATCGACCCCTGTGGTACTCCACAGGTCAGGGCCACATCATCTGAGACGCAGTCTCCAATCTCCACAGAGTACTTCCTATCCTCCAGGTAAGACCTAAACCAGTCTAGGGCTGTGCCAGTGACACCAACCCAGTCCTCCAGTCTCTGCATGAGGATCTCATGGTCGACAGTGTCGAACGCGGCACTAAGATCTAACATGACCAAAACTGTGACTTTACCTGCATCAGTGTGAAGTCGAATGTCGTTTGTTACCTTCACTAGAGCGGTCTCAGTGCTGTGGTGGGGTCTAAACCCAGACTGGAACATATCAAAAGAATTATTCATTGTTAAAAATTCAGTAAGTTGTTGGGAGGCCACTTTTTCAAGAATTTTTCCAATGAATGGCAGATTCGATATGGGGCGATAATTTTGAAGTCCCGCAGGATCCAGACTGCTCTTTTTTAGGAGAGGTCTTATGACTGCTGTTTTTAGGGCCATAGGAAATGTTCCTGACGACAGAGACATGTTTACTATTTGTGTCAGTGAAGGTAACAAACTGCTCAGGACGGACTTCAGAAATTTAGAGGGCAATATATCCAGGCTACATGTGGAGGAGCTCAGACTCATGATTATCTTTTTGACAGTTTCAGTATCCACAGGTGCAAAGTGAGTTAGCTCAAAAAGCTTCTCTGGCTTTTGCATTGTTATACGTGCTGTGGAGGTGATAGTGTTTTTGATTCCTTGTACTTTGTCATTGAAAAACTGTGCGAACTCATTACACCTAGATTTAGAGGAAAATTCTAGGGGCAACTTTACAGGGGGGTTCGTTAATCTACCAACTGTTGAAAACATAACACGAAAATTGTTACTGCAACCTCCAATAATGTCAGAAAAATACATTTCTCTTGTTCTACGTAGAACCCGGTTAAATTCACCCAACTCATCTTTAAAGATTTCATAATCGCCCTGGAAATTGGACTTTCGCCACTTCCGTTCGGCCCTCCGGCACTCTTGCTTCTGTGCCCTGACCGAGTCTGCCTTAGTCCATGGGGCCTTTTTCTTACTGGTAACTATTTTAACCGTCACAGGAGCAATGGCGTCCAGAACAGTCAGAACACTGGTGGTGACAGAGTTAAACAATTCATCAACAGTAGAGCATGGAGTTTTCTCAAAATTTAGCATTCCCATGAACAGTTCACTTGTGTTTTCATGTATGTGTCTTCTTCTAACAATTGTAAATTCAGCTGGTGGTTTGCTAGCAAAACACATGTCAAAAAATACACAGAAATGATCTGACAAAGCAACATCAACTACATTAACATTTGATACATTAACCCCCTTTGTAATTAGCAGGTCAAGAGTGTGCCCCCTGCTGTGGGTGGGGCCACTCACGTGCTGAATGAAACCAAAGGTCTCAAATACAGAAGCCAGCTCCTTTGCATTTCTGTCATCAACATTATCAACATGTACATTAAAATCACCTGTAATAACTAAACTATCAATCTGTGCACACGAATGAAAGTAGTTCAGTAAAATGGTCAATAAAATCGCAACATGACTGTGGTGGCCTGTACAGGACAATGAAAAGAGTAGAAGATTGCTTTTGTTCCATTTTAAAAGAAATATACTCAAACGATGAAAAATTTCCAAGGGGCATTCTATGGGAGACAAAGTGCTCTCTAAAAACTGCAGCTATGCCTCCCCCCCTTTTGTTTTCTCGTATTTCGGATTCGAATTTAAAATTGGGTGGTGTTGCTTCTATTAGAACTGCATTTCCTGTATTTTGGTCCAGCCATGTTTCAGCCATAAGCATAAAATCAAGATCATAAGAAGTGATAAAATTATTAATTAAAAATGATTTGTTACATAGAGATCTGACATTAAGCATAGCAAGTTTAAAAATAACGTCAGAGTCGATTAATGTGGTTGATTGATTTCTACAGGGAACAGAAATTAGATTTGCAGAGTTGGACCGTCTAACTGCTGTCCTGTTTTGATTTCGTTTTTTAGAATTTAAAAACATTTTTGAGCTGGTGCGAGGAACACACACAGTCTCAATTGGCCTAAAATGTGAAAACCCTTGTTGTTCTTTAGCTCCCAGAGTCAGAAGGGAGTCAGCACAGTTCAGTGTTTGGACTGGTAATGCACTGCCAGACGGACAGGGAGCAGTGTTTGCACCGTTGTACTCACCCGGTGCTGGTGAGCAGGAGGCGGGGGAGTGCGGTGGGGTCCGAGGGGGCTCAGATGTAAACAGTCACGCCCCCCTCGGGGAACGCTGAACAACATGACGCATGTAATCCATCAACAGGCTGCTACCGTATCTGTTTGGGTGTAATCCGTCTGGACGATAGGCTTCGTAACGTTTCCAGAAAAGGGCAAAGTTATTCACAAAGACAAAGTTAAAAGAGCTGCATGTAGCCTGGATCCACATATGCAGCGCCACAACACGACTGTAGAGGCAGTCGCCTCTGCTTACAGTCGGGATTGGACCAGAAATAAAAACAGATAGTCCGGAGGATTGAAGGAGGTGGAACAGATCCATAAAATGTTTCTTCGTGACTTCTGACTGCTGAAGTTTCATGTCGTTAATTCCCACATGCACGACTACCTTGGAAACGGTATCAGGCAGGGACTGAAGCAGAGGAGGGAGACGGATGAGCAGGTCTGGTACAGTAGCTCCGGGAATACAGCGAGTGACCGCGTTGAAGAAGCGGACGTGTCTCACGATGGAATCTCCAATAATCAGAGTGGTCGGGGCGAAGAGTGGCCTCGGAGAAGGAGCTCGGTGGACGGAACCAGCGGGTTCACCCGAAGCAGGACCGGAGCCTGAGCGCCGCTGAACACATGGAGAGGATGAGCGGGGGTGCTGACTCTCAGCTACAGGCGACCCACGCTGTGTGCTCGGGGACGCTGGAGCGGTGAGAGGGGCTGGCTCTGGGCGCTGCTGCTGACCCGGTGGAGGTGAGCGGTGGTGATGATGGCTCGCTACCCCAGTCTGAGGCTGCTGCACTGGGGTCAAAGAAGGGGAACAGGCCAACATGGCTGGTGGACCGCTCTTTTGCCTGAGGACTGCTTCCTTTAGGAGCGTTTTCCTCGTAGTGGACTTGGATCCTCGAGCAGTAGAGTACGCTGCAGTGTCCAGGGATTCTGCTGAGGGGGCCGGGATGTCGGTGGAGAGGGCTGCATAGCGGTTTGCCAGACTCAGGACATGGGCCACGGCGCAGGATGGCTCCTCGGAATCCGCGGGCTCGTTATTCTGAACCGGGCGCTTAGGTGTAGAACAGGAGGGTCCGGAGCTGACGGATCTCTCCCACACGACAGTGTCACAATATGCAGCGCTCAGTGACATCAGCCGTGAATGCTGCCCACCAGCGACTTCAAAAAGTTTGGATACTAGAGATTGTTTCTCATTCAACTCTGCGGTGAGACGAAGGACTTCTTTTCGTAGATCTGCAATGGTGGCACGGTCGCTCTCACGGAGCTCCAAGGTGAGGCGACTAATATTGTGCATGTTTGAGCCAATTTCATTGTCACTTTCCATGTCCTCGTTAGCTTGTGTTAGCCTCTGTGCTACTAGTGGGTTTCAGTCGGGACTAAGTGCTATTTGCTGAAACCACTGAATTAATAAGATAAAACACTCAGATATATTAAAAAACTGAACAATAAAAACGCGCTAAAAAGTTGTTAAAAGTTTACTAAAAAGGTGCACAGAGCAGCCCTGCAGTAAAGAGGAAACCTTGTGAAGTTTTCTTTTTTTGTTGCTTATGTTTCTCAGTATGGCATTAACAATATATTTCCATCCATCCATCCATCCATTTTCTACCCCTTAATCCATTTCTAGGTCGGGGGGTGGCAATCAGAGATGCCACCCAAGTCACAGAGCACCAGCCCCTCACTGATCCTCTGCAGGCGGTGAGTCCACAGGAGGACGGCTGCTCTCTGGTGGACCACGGTCCAGAGGAGAGGGACGACCACGGTCCAGAGGAGAGGGACGACCACGGTCCAGAGGAGAGGGACGACCACGGTCCAGAGGAGAGGGACGACCACGGTCCAGAGGAGAGGGACGACCACGGTCCAGAGGAGAGGGACGACCACGGTCTAGAGGAGAGGGACGACCACGGTCCAGAGGAGAGGGACGACCACGGTCTAGAGGAGAGGGACGACCACGGTCCAGAGGAGAGGGACGACCACGGTCCAGAGGAGAGGGGACAACCACGGTCCAGAGGAGAGGGACGACCACGGTCTAGAGGAGAGGAACGACCACGGTCTAGAGGAGAGGGACGACCACGGTCCAGAGGAGAGGGACGACCACGGTCTAGAGGAGAGGGACGACCACGGTCTAGAGGAGAGGGACGACCACGGTCTAAAGGAGAGGGACGACCATGGTCCAGACAAGTCGATACATGTTCCATTTGTAAGTCTTTCTACATCTGCACATATTTGTGTGAAAAATGGTTTTCAATGCAATAATAACAAACACATTTGAGCCAACGGTCCAGAGGAGAGGTACGACCACGGTCCAGAGGAGAGGGACGACCACGGTCCAGAGGAGAGGGACGACCACGGTCCAGAGGAGAGGGACGACCACGGTCCAGAGGAGAGGGACGACCACGGTCCAGAGGAGAGGGACGACCACGGTCTAGAGGAGAGGGACGACCACGGTCCAGAGGAGAGGGACGACCACGGTCTAGAGGAGAGGGACGACCACGGTCCAGAGGAGAGGGACAACCACGGTCCAGAGGAGAGGGACGACCACGGTCTAGAGGAGAGGGACGACCACGGTCTAGAGGAGAGGGACGACCACGGTCTAGAGGAGAGGGACGACCACGGTCTAGAGGAGAGGGACGACCACGGTCCAGAGGAGAGGGACGACCACGGTCCAGAGGAGAGGGACGACCCCGGTCCAGAGGAGAGGGACGACCACGGTCTAGAGGAGAGGGACGACCACGGTCTAAAGGAGAGGGACGACCATGGTCCAGACAAGTCGATACATGTTCCATTTGTAAGTCTTTCTACATCTGCACATATTTGTGTGAAAAATGGTTTTCAATGAATTCATATTAAGAGATCCTTTATCCGTCCCACTGTGTGGAAATTTCAGTATTGCATCACCAGTTACTGAACAGCAGGAATGGGGAGCACACAGTATACAAGAAGTGAACAAAAACTAAATAATTAAAGAAAAGAAAAGAAATACTATTAAATCTATAACTTTAGCATAATAAAGAAGCAAAGGTTCAAATATTCAGAATGATGATGCTACTGCACATGTTAGCAGCCTCGCACATGTGTTGTACTGTATGTACATGACAACAATAATAAAAATACATTTTATTTATTATACACTTTACATTTCAACAAAATCTCAGCGTGCTACAGAACAGGGAACATCCCCAAGATACACAACATTAAAAATTACACATTTACAATACATCAAATAGACACCATCATGAAACATAAAAACATACAGTACACTTTAGAAGGTTTGTTTGAATGAAAATGTCTTAAGGCCTTTCTTGAAAGATAAACATGATGATGTTTACCTGAAAAATCCCGAGAATACCTCATGTCTTTGTGACTCTGCTGGTCCTCGTGGTCATCGCGGTCCTCGAGGTCCTGGCTCCCTCGGTGTGTGTGAGTAAATCAGCGTTTAGCCGCACACTGACATAATTAGCGCGACAGTGTTCGGCCGATTGCAGATGAAAACCTATTGAAAAAAAGTAAAGTGACTTTTTGTGTTTTGTGATGTGAATCTATACGGTGCCGAGACCCTTGATCCCGTGACCTCATCAAAGCGGGACGGGGGAAAACAAGCGTCCCTCTTGAGGACAGCAGCCATTCATCACGCCATCTTTGTCCCCGGTTTAGACGCTCCCGCCGCCACCCGCAAATTGATGTAAGGAGACACAAAGAGCTGTTTTTTTCTCAATCACAAAAGCAGAAATTCTGAGTTTGCCGATTACTGTTGGGACTTGGAGCACTTGACCTTGTGGCGAGAAGAAAGAAAATCAAAATGGTGGAATTTTTTTTGTGGTGGCTTCTTTGGAAATGTGTCTTATTGTCGTTGCTGAAAGTGGTTTGTCGACGTGAAGTTTGAATATGAGTGATTTCACTTAGATTATTATGTTTAGTCTTTGCAATTACAGGTGTGTTCAGTGTGTTCTTTATATGCAACAATAAAATACGTTCACAAAGAAAACGTGCTTGCTCCTGTGTGAGGAAAGGCCGTGGTATTTGCAAGAACGAAGGTGTAAATTGAAACAAAGGTTCTTGTGTTTCTACGTGTCTTTGGCTGTATTTTTGAGCAAAAAATACTTCACAGAAATATGTAGATGAAAAAGAATGATGATTATTTTCTTAAATGGTGGCCTCGCTGGTTTGTGATTTGTTTTGTGTGCTTTACGCCAGTATAACAGGACAGTTTCCGTTATTCAGAATAAAACTTTTGTGTCTTGAGTGCACGGGGTCTCCCTCTTTGGTCTCTCTCTTTGGTCTCTCTGGCCTCTCTCACTCTCTCTGGTCTCTCTCTGGTCTCTCTCTGGTCTCTCTGATGTCTCTCTCTTTGGTATTTCCCTGGTCTCTCTCTCTGGTCTCTCTGGTCTCTCTCACTCTCTCTGGTCTCTCTGGTCTCTCTCACTCTCTCTGGTCTCTCTGGTCTCTCTCACTCTCTCTGGTCTCTCTCCCGGGTCTTTCCCTGGTCTCCCTCTTCGGTCCCTCTGGTCTTTCTCTGGTCTCTCTGGTCCCTCTCTGGTCTTCCTGTAGCCCTCAGTCCTGCTCCTGCCCCTTAATGTTCTCTGTAGCGGTCTTTAGTAAACAAGACAAGATGTGCAAAAATTCAAGCTGTCAAAATAAATACTTTTGCAAGGCACTGTATGAATATCAAAGTATTTACATGTAATCCCATCATCCTAATCCCATTACCCAAAGAGATAAATGCCGTTTCAATATCATAATTAGAGCCCCATGTTTCCACATCGGCCTAATCTACAATATACACTTATACACGCCCATTTACAGTCATTTAACCTCTTTACTGCTGGAGAAAAGCCTCTCACATCCATTCCAGAGGCATAACTTTATTGCATTGACCTCACTGTGCCCATGCTAAACATCATTTGGGCTGGAGCGCTGTGAAAAGGCCGATGTACATGCTTATAACCATCCAACAATGAGACGAGCCGCATTCCTTTTTGCACACCATGACTGCGGACAATAAGTGGCATTGAGAAACCGTCAGACCTGCGCAGCCCTTGAAAAAATACATTTGCAAACACTACTATACCTGCTTCGAGTGACAGGTTCTTAAACGACAACCACACAATGCCCTGTACATTCAATTTATGTTTATCTTTGTTCACATCAAGGGTAATGTGTCTTTTGTAAATGTGTGAATGCATAAAATATAATGGTGGTCGTGTTGTTTTCAGGTTCCTTTTTTCCAAAACCATCGGAAAAAGAAAAAGTCCAGGGTCAGGCTTTAAGGTGAATGTTTTGATTTAGCGACGGGAAAAAGGTGGCGCGTTTGTATATTAATATAATTCATGTCTCGTCTCTGTTTCTGCCTTGGTTTTAAAGTCTTGTCTTCCAGTTGTTCCCGTTATTTTTGAGTTTCATTCATTATTGTGTATTCTTATGTTATTAGGCCCGAGCCCAGAACGGGGAAAGGGCTTATTGTTTTTGCCACCTACAACAGCCAATGGGAGTTTCAGAGGTCAAGTTTGTCGTAGAGCCATGACATTCGGTTCCTCAAGTCAAGATAAGACCAAAATATTATAATGGCTCCGCCCTCTGACAAACAGGAAGCCCATAAATTTCACTGCAAAATGGAAAAATGATCCGCAATAATTTTCATACATGGAAATCTTCTCCTCCTCGGCCGTTTCACTGATTTGCCTCAAAATCGCTCCACATCATTTCAACACATGTACCTTCAAAATGACCAAAGGGATTTTTGATCAGTGAAACGTTGTTTGAGCAGCGGAACGGCAAAATGTGAGTGTTTTTTGGCCGTTTTTGACAACATTAATTTTGCTCCCGTTTGCACAAACAAAGTCTGATTTGCACAAAACTTGAATCCATTGTTCAACTCCATGGTTTAGGTCAGGAGAAAGTGAAATATTTGAAATTGGCCCATTAGCGCCCCCTACAGATTGAGGCAAAGTTTTACATGGGGTGCCAAACCAGTTCTAATCACAATATACATTACAATTTGACTAAGATTCTTCTACGGCAACAGCAACAAATCATCACACGGCGGCCCCACCTCCTTTGCACGGTGCTGCGTGGTGCGGCGTAGTGCGGGGCGTTGTGGGGCGGCGTGTTGCGGCTTGGTGTGGGGCGGCGTGGTGCGGGGCGGCTTGGTGCGGAGTGGCTTGGTGCGGGGCGGAGTGGTGCGAGGTGGCGTGATGCGGGGCGGTGTGGGGCGGCGTGGTGCGGGGCGGCGTGGTGCGGGGCGGCATGGTGCGGGGCGGCTTGGTGCGGGGTGGTGCGTGCGGTGCGGTGAGGGCTGTTCGACGCCGCTTGCGGCTTTAATTTGGTATTGTCTTTTGGAAAGTGACAGACTGATCCATCCAAGTGACAACTTATACGGCATTTATCTTTGAACTCCAAAAAGAATTTCTGTCCTTCGGGTCAAAACACAGAGTTAAATCAGAAGTTTCCAGGTATTCTAGAGAAACTAGAGGGCCGTATGCAATTAGCCTTATGTTTTTCACGCTGACCCAAAAATACATGTACAGAGTAAACAAATTTTTTTTTTTCCTATGTGAAGGTTACAATTACTGCGGTAAAAGGTTGTGTTTGTCTGACCTTTGTCCGTAAGAATCCAATAATTAACCAAACGCTGCTGTTGTTTAGGTCTTTGCTTGGTCTTATGAATTTTCACAATCACAAATAGTAAAGAAATTTAACATGGAACATTGCCCACTTTCAATGCCGAGCTGAAATGAGGCTAACACTAGGGGTGACAAGCCGAACTCAAACTGAATCATAAATATTTTCATTGTCGTTGTAAGTAACAGGAAGTCACAAACTATAAATTTGCTTTGGCTCACGGTGCAAACAAGTTGTAAAAAAAAAATCTTTATAATATATCTTGAAATTACTGCAATACACACACAAGTGCACACTAAGTACACACAATAGACACACAATACCAATCCTAATACAGTCTGTGGCAGGGATGGGCAATTATTTTCTTCAGGGGCAACTTTGGGATATCACCTGATTGTGAAGACCTGTTTTCACATTGGTCAATGTCTTCATTTATTTTGCAAAACTTCTAAAGAAATTATGTTTCTCTTTATATTTATTTTGTTTCGATCAAATTATAACGAAAATGTGCGTAATCTTTTTTCATACTGTACACTTTTTTGAATCCGGCACGCTAGATCAGGCCATTGGGGTGTGTGGCCTTCTTGAAACCTTGCCAAATTATGAGTATATTTAAAACATTTTGGTTTCATTCATGAGAACAGAATACATTTATAACATGCCAAAGTCGCACATATTAAGGCCTTCTCTAGTCTCTGATTCATTTAAATAAGCAACAGACCGGTTTGTTGTTAATGCCTGGGAAGGGTCCTGGGGCCGTGTAGAAGTGTGAATCGGGCCGTATGTGGCACGCGGGCCGTACTTTGCCCAGGTCTGGTCTATGCTCAGAACACTGGTCAATGGGGATAAAAACCTAATCTAGCCCCTGAGCTGGGCCCTTTAACTGTTCTGGGCCTGACCTTACGTCACATGTAGAGAACAAATCACATCACAGACACGATATACATGGCGCTTCAGCTTTTGGCATTTTCAGAAAGAAAATACCATAAACATTGAAGGGTATCTTGATTTAATAAAGCCAAAGTCTCTTAAACACATTGGATAAATAACACAAGGGTTGTATTCAGGGACAGCAGGTTGAATAACCATTGCTATTGTCGGAAGGGAAGAATACCATAAAGGTATATAACAGGATTTTCTACTTCCGGATGGATCATCAAAACTGTTGGTCCTCCCAATTGTCAATATTCTGGTGATACGTGCTCGTCAAATAGGAGTTTAGTTTGAAAAAAGTGGAGGGCGGTATATAGGAGTTCAAAATCCACCTATGTACCTTCAAGTTTGCAATCCGTCCATATGTTTAATCCATATCTGTTGCTTTATGATCTGAGACACGATAAACGTACATTTGGAGTACATATTGTATTTCAAGGTATTTTCTTTTTCTCTCTTGTCATCAGAACGTAGAATGGATTTGTCCTCCAGTGGTTTCTCTGCTCTCCCGCTCCGTCAGCTGCTGCCCACTCACTGCAGATGAGAGGAGATCGTTGTGTGAAAGCCCTTATGGACTGAAGGGCCATAGGCTTTACTCATGCCACACACACACACACACACACACACACACACACACACACACACACACACACCTATACATCCATTAACGAAGCCACTCGAAAGACATCCCTGCATGAAATGGACACTATTCTACATCACAGAGATTGATAGTAGTTGGAGTAAAACCCACAAACACTTTTCTCATGTGTATTTATTAGTGCTGTCAAAAACTTTAAACGTTTAATCACAATTAATCGCAAGAATATCATAGTTAATTGCAGAGCGGCTCGAGTTGATAAATGTTTGGACAGTATCAAACATAGCTGTAGTTCTAATGTAGTATTTAAGCAGTTTACAATGTATTTTTACAGGTACATATCATTTCAATACAAATGTGAATAGTGTGATTAAATAAAGGACATTTAGTTCTTATTGGCTTCTTTGTAAGAAGGTCCTGGGTTTGATTCCACCTCCGGACGGGGTCTTTCTGCGTGGAGTTTGCATGTTCTTCCCGTGTCATTCTCTGGGCGCTCTGGTTTCCCCTATAGCAGTGTTCCCCAAACGTTTTGAGCCG